ACAAATCCTCTAAATAAGGTAAGAATCCTACGAATCTCTTAAATAAGACAACTATGATAAATATAATATATTGCTTCTAAATATATTTTTACACACCTCCTCAAACTTAAGATATGATTGAACAAACTTGAGTTTGTTAGAAGTGACCGAAAAAGATATAGTAACTTGAAGTTGCAATTGACTAAAAGTGGTGTAGTCGTCCACTGGATCAGAGTCAGAATCAGAACTCAACACCGTTAGAGTTGGAAACAAGACACGCTCGTTCACATCAGAACTAGAGTCGAAAACATGACTCACTTGCTTTCAATAAAATTGGAGTCGAAAACAGAACTCTCAACGGAATTAGAGTTGAAGGCATAACTCTGTTAGTGGAGACCGACCAGACAACAACATAAATGGCATGAAGATGATAACATGAACATGGATAGAAGCATATACATCAATAAAATATAAAAATATACAGGATATAACGGGTCATGGATATACCCAAAGAGAATTTGACTCTAATACCATGTTAGAATATGAAACTGAAATTCTCAATTTCAATCATAAGAATACATACATATTTATAGTGATAACAAATCGTCTAAATAAGGTAAGAATCCTACGAATCTCTTAAATAAAACAACTATCATAAATATAATATATATTGCTTATAAATATATTTTAACATGTTTCATAGCAGAAAAATATCCTTTAACTGTTGGTGTTATGATTGGTAAAATCAAAACTAGATTTAATAATGGAAATACATAATGATTAAAAAAAATTACTTTCTTATTTGCACCATCAATTCTGCAAGGTTGCAAATAACTATCCATGTTAGCAAATCTTTCATCTTGAAGTATAATCGTTTTTCTTTTCATATTATTAAATCATATGAATAAAATGCACTTAACTTCACTAACTTTGATGAATCAAACATAAAAAATTGAATCTTGTGGACTCAAAGTAGTCATATTAGTAAGCAACTTAGTACTAATCGCAATAAATCAATCATCAAAATTTTGAATTTGCATATCTAAAACAATGTTGAAAATGTATACCTCATAATGGTGCCAATTGGAGATGATGGTTTTTTTTTTTTTTTTTATGATTTCTTGAAGTACCATATGAATTCTCCATATTAAGTTTTCAAGACTATTCTTTTGCAATGAAAGACCGTTTCCAAAAGTATATCAAACTCATTTTCTTTAAACTTTTGCAATGATTTTCTATTCCTTCTATCAATTAGACTATTTCTATGATATCTTGGTTTTTTATTGAAGAGTTCGTGACAATACATTCGTAAGTTCTAAAATGTGCAATATCTAAGTGCAAATATAATCCAAAATCAAATGGAAATATTCTAAAAAATCATAAGCTAGATGTCGGTTCAAACTATTATCGCCATCCTCTTTAACATATTTAAGCACCACAACAACTTCTGGAAACAAAAAATTCAAACATTGTAGTATTCTATGATGAGAACCTCAATGTGTATCTCCGGCATGTATAAGAGAGAGCTCTTGAATTAATCTAATTTTGGTTTCAATTTCACATTTACTAATAGTTTCTTGTATTCTCATATGTAGTTTTTTTGAATCATATCTTTTCGTTTTTAAGAAGCGCAAACCACATTCATCATTTTCGCTAGCATGTCAAAAAGTTCTCAACAACATTATGGTTTTTTTGCAACAACTACTAGATGAAGTTGGTGATCAAAATAATGTACATAATATTTAGAGTTGTTCTCCTTCAAGATCAAAACTTTCAAACCAATAAACTCCCTTTTGCATGCTACTCGTTTCATCATAACCTTGATCACTTCTCTCAATAGTCTGGTCAACAACTAGGCTTTCGTAGGTTGGCTCTGATACCAACTATAACGCTCTGACCCACAAGCTACGTAAATTGGGTGTGTCACGATTAGACTATCCTCACAGGTCAACACACGTCTTTTCTGCGCGCTTTGTCCCTACTCACGCGCACCCTGGAAGACTTCCCAAGAGGTTAGTCATTCTGAAATTACCCTAAAGCAAACACGTTTAATTATAGAGTTCTCTCAAGTAGACTCCTGAAGAAGAATTTTCACATTATTGATGTGAATAATCTATTTAATCTGACCCAGCCCCGGCTCATCCACACACGAAAGTTGGCTTAATACCGACCCAACTCCGGAGTATCACATCTATGTATCTCAAAATCACGACCATTTGTTCTTTTTTTTATTATTTATATGCCACTAGATTCATCAACTAACATATAAAATACATCACTATCAATCTCTTTAAAAATGGACTTGCATATTTCATTCGCAAAAGAATTTACAATATCATTTTGAATAGATGTAGATATCATTTAATTATTCTTTGGAACATTTATTAATATTATATTATGAATGGACTCATTTTTACTTCCAAGTAATGATAATGCTTCCAAAACGAGACCTTTAGAAGTAGAGTTTTTCAACTTATCATAACCACAGAATGATAAAGAATTTTCATCAAGAATCTACAAACATCAATCCAAGCATTTAATCTAATTCAATATTCTTTCGTCGCAGCTTCACTTTGCTTATGAAATGCAACAACAATTGATTGATTCTGCTTCATTGATTTTCATATTTTTGTTGTATTTTATTGTGAAAACTAGAAACATCATCTACGTGAATACTAAATCAAGAGTTTTTTACTCCAACTATCATATCCCTCCGTCACAAAGACATCACTTCCACCTTGTTTTTCAACCTAGTTTGGCCTATTGCATCACCATCAATGGACTCTTCCTCAATCCTTTCATCAATTTCTGCAACCTTTTCATTTATCTGCTCTGTAAAAGCAGCACCCTCCATAGGTATTTTTGTCAACATGAGCGACCGTATTCTCTTTAGTGGTGGCAGGGGCCACATTTCTTTCAAAAGGTTGATAGCTTAAAACCATGATATCATTTGGTTTTGTTCCTATAATCGAATTGGCAACTGCTGGAACTTTTGGAACAAAGGGAGGAACTTTTGAGCCATAGGGTGAAACTTTCCTTTCCACAAGATTTGAGGCACATCCTCCTCCCATAGATGTTCTTCTCGCCGGCCAGCTCATAATATCAAACCGAGTTCTTGTCATGGTTTCAAATAATTTTTTAATAATTGCAAATGAGAGATTTTTGAACCTTTAAACTGTGTTGAGGATGATCTCAAATACCGTATATAAAGTAAAAATATCAGAGAAAAATACACCACGATATGATTCGATATTTAAATTTCAAAAAATTATAACCTTGTAATTTTTCAGCGTCGCATTGCTATCATAATTCCGCTGATGTCAGCCTAAAAAGAGATTCATTTGACTATTTATTAAGAAATTTCATCAATATAATTTCTCCGCTAACTCAAAATTTATCCAATAAAATCATAATTGGAGAGGGATATTTTTAAAAAAATACCACGTAATACTTCGGATCATATTTTACACTTCAGAATTTATACATCTTCACTCTGTACAGAGTCATTCCGAAGTTACGCCTATAGCTTAAACGTTGCAATGACTAATCTCACAAATGAATTTTGATACGAATGTCACCAGCTCACTTTATCATCTTTCTTTTTCTCCAATAATCAAAATATTTCATCAAGATAACATCAGTATATCAAATACTAACATTAGTATAGCAGATGCTCCGGACACTCAAACTGTGCCACGTGAGGCAAAGCTAAATGTATATTACTTTTTTTTTCCTTGTTCTTTTATCTTGTTGTCGTTTTTTTTTTTCACTTAAAGGGTTTTTTTTTTAATTTTTAATTTTTATTAAGACAACTGGCATTAGACATAAAAAATGCAAATTTTTATAAAAAAACTTGTGAATTACAAACACGCAGTAATTTCCTTCGCCCTCCACTACCAAATCGCATACCCATTAAGACAGTAAAACCTGAAACAAACTCACAAAGAAGTTAGCATCCCTTTCGCAATAGAAGAAATAATGAACAGAAAGGTGAAAAAAAAAAGAAAAAGAGCAAAAAATCCTAAAGCCTAAAAAAGAAAAATAAATAAAAATATTCAAATAACTCCATAAACTACATGTCGAGAAAGTCCGTAACAACGATCCGTCGGTCAATTTCAAATTGTTCAAGCAGTCCCAGGCCACCCAAAAATGACTGTAAATCACAGTATAATATCCACTAACATTTAGCTGCATATTTCATCTTGGGTTGACAAAAAATATGTGATAAAGTTTTATGTGAATACTCCATAGTATTAACTTTATCCCTACGTAGTTTTATGTGATAAAAATATGTTGTAAGAAGTGTATCACAGTTAGAGTTGACAATGGGTTGATTCGTGTCGTTTTCATATCGGATTGAATACTTTAAACGAGTTAAATTACTCAATCCTAATTCAACCCGTTTATTATCGTATCAGGTTCGGGTTAACCCATTTATTATCATGTCGGATTCAGGTTAACTGTGTTAACCTGTGTACATAATTAAGTCGAATTTCTTAATTCAAATTAAATAATTTTTTTGTTGTGTTGTCGTGTTATGTTAATTTTTATTGGTTTGAGCCTAAATTAGATTGAATTTTTTAAAATTGAACTTAGTTTAAATTAATTTATGAAAAAATTATTAAATTATATTTATTTTACATATATAATAAATATATTAATCAATATTAATATATTATCGAATTATTGTGTCAAATTCAAGTTGAGAGCCTCAACCCTAGCCCAACTTGTTTATTATTGTGTCGAGTTCGTGTCAACCCATATACATAATCGAGTTGAAATGTTTGACCTAAACCCAATTATTTTGTGTTTGGGTCAGTTTTTACCTGCCCTAATCACAGTGACAGTTCTGATCAGGTATAGGAATAATGAAGCAGAAGCAGCTTAGTACAAAATACATTTGCAATCATCACCCACACCCCACATTATGTCTTATTCTTTTTATATATAATATATATATACATATATATATTGCCTGTTTTGGGACAAACATCAGCCACCAGACAATCAAAGATTTGCACTTTCTACAACAAATCATCTTTACTCAATAACCTTCTTATACACACAAACATAGAGACCTAATGGTCACCAGCAAATGTTATAAAAGAAGAAAGAAAACACCAACATGTGTCCACTCCTACTCACATAAAGAATACATATATGTATACATACATACATATATATATATATAGAAAGAGAGAGAGAGAAGGAGAGAGATATTTACTAGTTTACTGGTTTGAAGATCTGCTTGGCCTTTTGCCTTCCATGGCATCTTTCTTCTGGCGACAACTCGCGCAGAGGAAAGGGCCTTCCCATGGCTTCGAAGCCGGGGAGAAATACGGACCCGAGTTGACTGACAAGCCTTCGCTCGGTGGCTGATCCACTTGACATATAGCACATCTAAAGAGCCCCGAGTTCGGGCCTAGAGGAAAGTCCTTGCCCAACCTGCCAATAGTTTGTAAGACAATTTGTACCAACTTTGATGTCAAAAGCAATCAACATTGGGGGCTGCTGCTAAATTCATAGAAAGCTCAGATGTCTATGAACACCATCAATTTCTGAATGAAAAACGAAAACAAACAATAAATAAAGGGAATGAATGTTATAAAATAAGTGTTAATAGTATTAAAGAACACGTAGATGCAAAATTTTTTACGATGAAGACATTACAAAAGTATTAGGTGTTTTTGTAAGTAATCCGACTAATTTAACTATTACCATAAAAATAATTTCAGCATTATTCAAATAGTATTGTCACCGTTATAGGTACACAACATCATATTGCAATATGGGATTGCCAAAAACCTAAAACGTCGATCTTTGAATATATTCAAGGGACAATCTACAAGAAAGATTACAACTACTCAACTCACTGCCAGGTGAAAGGTAATAAATATTGAGAAAGGAACGATCGTGTCATAAATGACAAAAACCATCCTTTATAAGTTAAAACATTCCATACTCGTGAATTAGCTAAATAAAAGCCACAAAGATTATCAGCATCAAGCAAGCCATATTTTCAATCTCAACCAATTTTATGTTCACATAGAAAGTGCTTTATATATATATATATATATATATATATAAAGAAGTGAAATGAAGAGGTACCTCTCAGCAAGCATTGCAGAGCCTTCCTCAAACAATTCCTCCACAGCTCCAACAGCTGATAACTTATTTGCCCCTTTGGTCTGACGCTGTTTCCGAAACATAAATGCACTGAGCAAATTTTGTTTCTTTTTAGGTGACGGGGGCAACATGGGTTGGTCATAAGGAATAATGTCAACAACCAAGCATGTTGTATCATCCTTCAACCCTCGTGATCGAAGAGCCTCCTGCATTTGAAATAGTTGAGAATCATCAGAAAAATTTCAAGATCAGAAGTGCATGTTCCTGTCACCAAGTACCTTAACAACCAACTTTGCAGCAAGATCAGCGGGCAACCCCCGACAAGCCTGAGCGGCACTTTCAGATGACAGTGCATCCCAAATACCATCAGAGGCAACAATGAGTCTTCCCCCAGCATTAGAAAGCTGATACATAAATTTAAAATTTTATTAAGTACTTTAGCCTCATTGTTGGATAGATTTCATCTTTTGGGGTGAACGATTGAAAACCTTGACTTGTTTAACATGGGGAATTGGGACGATAAACTCGCCCACATCCGTATCACCAATGGACCGTGAAAGGCACAATCCCCCAGGCCAGCAGCGCAATGGGCCCACCTAAGATTCCAGACAGAAATACAACAAATGATCATATGAATCTCTGAACTAAAAGTATCTGATTTGTTGCCATTAAAAGTAAGGACTTAAAGGGAAAGCAATCAAATTTACTTCACTGCCTCCAAAAACATTGAGCCTTCCTACTTCACCACCACTTGCAGTAACGCGCTCCCGTTCTTCGACATTCTCCTCCAGCCGATGGTCAACGGTTAACAGTGACACGACACCCCCTTGTGTATCCAATATGCACCGAGAATCTCCAACAGATGCAACAGTCACAGTCCAACCATCAATAACGACAAAAGTAACCGTTGTTCCAGAAGTCTCTCCTGTCATCCGCAAAAATCGGACAAGATAGATGAGGTCAAATAGAATACGTCATACAGCCAATAAAGGGGAAAAAAACATTTTTGTAACAAGAACAAAAAGCATGCCTCTCCGCTGAAAATCTATGTCAGTTTTAACGAACCCTGCAACCAATGCCTTGGGTAGGGCTTGCAGCCATTCCTCCCTGCCCAGTTCACGAGGTATAGCACTCAAGACATTGTTCAGCAAATTCTCTTTAGCAAATATTGCAGCTGATATACCATTATGCCCGTCGAAAATCTGCAATTGAACATGTAGCAAACTTGTCAATCTTGGAGTGACAATAACTTAAATCATAACAAGATGTTCAAGTACCGCAAAAACAGAAAATGATGTAGATGGATCGCCAGGAACTCTTTGGCAATCAGGTTTGATCAAAAAATAGTCCTCTCCCTTCTTCGCCAGGGCAGCTTGCCCACACTTCACCATCGGCTTCTCTAACTTGACATTTCTCAACTCACGGCCAATTAAAGTCCCAAGCGGAATAGGCTGCTGGTTATGCCTCATTCCGGAAGAGTCTGTCTCGCTCATCTTAGTAAGTTTGTTCTCAGCATTGCCAGAATACTCATTCCCAAACCCTAGTTACCCAAAAGGATTCCAAGAGAGCATAAATGCCCGAAAATAGTACCGATTTCTTTCTACCAAATTAAGGAAAAGAGAAATACACTGGAAAAGTAAATTCTCACAAGATTATCGTTCCACAACATAGAAATTACAAGTAACTTAAGTTCAAATAATTCAAAAGCAATTCAATTACTACACAGAAGAATATCTAAATCCATTCAGCTTTTGCTGCACATCCACAATTAACGTAAAACGTCGGAAATCGTCTCCTAGAGAGACAAAACAATACCATACCAAAATTTACCAACAAATCAACTCAAATTGGGTAAAGTGCCTGTATTACACACAAAATTAAACATGATTTTGACATACATTGACCAGAACAAACAAGCATGAGCTCAGAAAATGCATATCGACGGAAAACAAAATATTAAGAAGGGAACAAAGCAAGAAATGCAGAAGCACTTACAGCATAGGCATTGACAGAAGGAAACTGAAGCAGATCGAGAGAGGAGGGTGCTTCAAACCCTAGATAGAGAAATTGAGGAGATATTGTTTATCTTACTGCAATTTGATTGTAGAAAGAGAGAAGACGCGGAGAGAGAGAGAGAGAGAGAGAGAGAGACGGTGAGAGAGACGGGTTTTCGGGACAATGGGCCTCCTTTTATAATGCATACGCCGATATACATCATTGGTATTGACGACGGACGGAAATGACCAAAATAACCCTCCATGCCTCGCCATGGAACTTGTAAGTAGACCAATATATATGTAATCTGTATTCTAATAATCACATCTATTTTTTCAATTTAATTTTCAAATTCTGATGATTAAAACCAAAAAAACGAAAAAGAAAAAAAATGCAAAAAACGTCTAGTTCGAAAATCCAAATCAAAACGTTTAGTATTTAATTCAATGCATCAAACCAAAACATTCTTAATATTCCAGAAGCATTGGGCAAAAGTGATCTAACAAAATATGAGAATTAATATATAAATAATTCAAAGCAAGTTAAAAAGATCACGTATAACATATAATGGTGAAAAATGGTTGTGTATTACACAAATTTAAAGACATTCGCCTATATAAGAAAGAGCAAGCAAAATATTAATTTTTTTTGTACTTTTAAGATCAATAAAGATATAATGATAGCAAACGTACTCACAAATAAAGCAATAAAAGTCATGACTCGCGAATTTTTCCGAGCGCTGATTTAGAAAATATAGGGAAAAATGATTATTGCAATTGATAGAATTGATTCACCAATAATAAATGTAAAATTTTCTTTCAATTATGATAGATCAGGTCGTAGAAATTTCAGAATTGTCATTTGTTTATTCTAAAAATTTACTTATTTGGCCACTATTTGTCGACCTCCACTCATGCGCTATCCCTTATAGGAAATTCAGTTAACATCTAGCAATTTTATCATTTCTTTTACAACTTGGTCTATGTTGTCATTGAGTTTTCATAAAGGTTTTGTGCATAGTTTGATGTTGTTCTCTAAATATATATTTCATACGTCTCAATTTAAAATATTTTTTTAAAAATTATTTTTCTCCGTCATATTTCAAAGTATCTATTTATATTTTAGTAAAAGTGATCATATACTAATATCAAAATACCCTTAAGGGTATATATATATATTTTTTAATGTTGCGGGCTCCAACGTTATACTATATTATTTTCTTAGGATTCAATGTTGCGGGCTCCCACGTAAAAGTTAAAAATCTTATGATTCAACGTTGCTATTGCAATAAAGGATCTCCAGTACAACCTTCGTCCAAAATCCTCATTCGAATTAAACCCTATTTTGATAAAAAAAAAAATCCTAATTTTCTCTAACGGGGCATTTGAGCAATCTTTTTATCCAATAAACACCATAATCAAAACCCTTGTGACCCCACCACCATCCATGATAAAAAAAAAGTCATTACTCGTCGCCATCCATGGTTAAAAAATTACTACCCGTCACCACACGTGCCTTCACACACTGCCTATTTGAACTGCCAATTTATATTTCTAACCATTTTTGACCAATTTTTGGTGTCATCTTCGGCCACGCATCACATCAGTGCATTTTTCACTTTATGATGCACTAGTAGACGTCACCCGCTTACATTACTGACGTATTTGTACAACTCGTGTTGCCATTGTGCTACCACACGCCACCACTATTGCTGTCAGAGTTTATATAGGGCATTTTTTTTTAGCCTATGGATAACTCTTTAAGTTGATTGGTATTAGATACCCCTGTTTGTAGTGTATTTACTGTCGCAAGATGATTCATACTCAAAGACATTATTATAGCCTTCATGGACGTCTGTCTCCTACAAAAGTGAAGTTATTGCTAATTTTACTCGGTATTTTTCATTTGGCTCCATTACCAGAGTTGTGTCAATCATAGTGTATTATTTCAGTTCTAAACATCTCAACAGTCAACCTCCACTAGTTCTACCATCAAAGTAGTCATTCGCAACTAGGATCATAATGTTGGATTTCTCATCGCCTCAATCCTCAATGCACGTGGCCCTTGTCTCAATAGCTCTCCCTTTTAATCGACCAGTGAAAATGGAAACCTGGGGTTTTTGGACACTTTCCTTGAGATAGTATAATGAAAAGGGTGACTTCCTCCTTTGTAAACTAGCCTTTATTTAGAACTAGTACGATGCTACTTCGTCCTGGTAATCGGTCACCATTTTTGTCCTAAGCGACAAGTAGCTATATACGGGCACTAGTAAACACACAATGCAGTTCATACACTCATGTCTGAGGGGGGGGGACTTATCCAAGGCTGAAAAGGGGGCTTAAAAGCCCATTTTTTAGGGACAATGGAATAACAACCGAAGGTTGAGCTCGCCATGACATTTGGTGAAGCCGGTGGAATAAGGCGAGTACCATTTCAAATCCATATTCTTATCAAAGAGAAGAAACGAGAAAAACCAAAATTTTCCTACTCAAACAAGAAATCCTATAGTTTACAAATCTTCTTCATTATCTAATGGATCTTTCCGTTCTAATACTAGGAGCTTGAAGCCTACTCGAAGTTGATGGTAGCGAAGCTTACACTTGTTCACTAATTATGATGGTTCACCAGGGCCTCTTTCCTCCTCTCTTTTCTGCTCATTGGTAGGGGTCCGGTCCTCCACAAAGGGTACGTGAGTCGAATGAATATCTCAGCCATTGGCTGGAGAGGTTGGTGGACTCTTCTATTCTAGTCTCCCTGGTCATCGCGGGAGAGGTTGGTGGCCTGCACAATCTGGTCTTGTTCTTTGTTGAGGAGGGCCCTCTTCTCATCTAAGAAAAACGACTCTCTAAGCCAAACTGGGTCACAAAGATCCAAACAAGGAGGGAGTTATAGTGAAGTGGCGAATGCTCTTTCTTCCTATCTGGGAATCATAGCCTAGTCTGACTCATCGAAGAGTTTGAGTTCATTAGCGGAGTCAGCTTAAGGCACCAGGCATCCTTGTCATAGATCAATTGATGTCTTCCCCATATAAATGGACAAATTCCTTTTCTTAAGAATACTTTTCCCTAAGGAATGGGAAAAAATCAACCAGTGAAAGAAAATAGCATTAAAAGGTCGAATCTGGTTTTGTGGAATAAGGCCGAAAGAAAAGAATAATGGTTCATAGTAAATAAACTATCAAGCGCCTATATGTTGCAAAAGGGACTTCCTTCCAGCTATTGTCTACTCAAGTTATGTGAAGGCAATCATAGAAGACAATTCGGAAGACCTTCTAATCTAAGGGATTGATTAATGATTGGGCATTATTCTCAATGAATTTTCTATCCCCTATTTTATATATAGGGGCGGATGTAGCCAAGTGGATCAAGGCAGTAGATTGCGTTTGGATCCGCGAAGGCAATCGCTCGGCTCTTCCCCTAACCCAACCCGGGAACGGACCGGAGGGAACCGCAGCATGGAGAATGTCCGCGTCTCGTTGCAAGGCTTATTTTGAGTTGTGGGTTATAGGGCGGGTAGCTTGATCGGCTCCAGGGCTGGGGCATAAGGGTCCTGGTACTATCCAGGTGCGAAGAACCCCGGAGGTGACTGCAATGATAAAAAATCTCACTCACGGGCCTAAACGACGAGCAAACACTCGAACATGAGAGCAAGGGATCACCCAACGAATGGACAAGCTCAAAGGGGAGAGTGATGCAAGAACCATGCTTTCAGAGAAGTGGTGGTCCGAATCTTATCTTCACTGCGAGAATAACTGACCAATAGAGACTTCATAAGGGACCATTTGAGCTGCAGATCCTAATGCTCCTAGAGAGGCATATTTCGAATATAGAGGAGTCAAAGTTCCCAACAATCAAGTAGTTTATCATATCCTTCCATGAACCGTACGAGCACCCGGGCCTGGTCACTGCGACCCCCTTTGTGAGGAGGCACCCCTTCTCCCGATGTTACGGGGCTATTTTGCCGAGTTCCTTATAGCGACACCTAGCGGACACGTAACCTCCGGCGAGCCACGCGGGCGTCTCCGGTGCTGGAGGACTAAAACAACAAAAATCTTTCACTTATGGGACTAGTTTGCGACAGGCTCCACTCATCCACTTTAATTTTATAGTTGACATACATGGATCATCAAGATATACCTACCTTACCATTACCACTATTGTTGATGATTCAACTATGGTTCTATTTTCTTCACTACTTATGGCTCCACCATCACCTATTGTCTTGTATCGAGGTATTTGGACCATTCATAATTTTAATCCTACTGGCAATTTCCTTAGTTATCATTTTTTATCTCTTTCCATGTGTAATGTTGTATTTGCTTTAGACACCATCTCTTTTCCTTGCTCTTTTGGTGGGAGTTTTGGGTCATTCATGGTAGTGTTAGGCTATATGAAAAAATATCTACTTTAAATGCAAACCACACTTGAGTGTTGATTCCATTGCCACTAGGTAAGAGACCTATCATTTCTCGATGGGTTTTGTAGTTAAGGTTGGCCCTAATGGTCACATTGATTGTATCAAAGCTTGTTTGTCTTGAAGGGCTTTATTTAGGTGTGTGGAGATGACTACACGGAAATTTTCTCTCATATTTCCAATACATCTTCTATTTTTATTTTTTCTCTCTGTGGTGGCTATACTTAGTTGAGGCTTCTTCATATTTCAAATGAACATAAAAATTACCGCATTGCATGACAAGCTTAAAGAAGATGTGTATATAGAGCAATTGTGCATTTTTGTTGGTCATGAGGAGTTCTATCTCGTTTGTCACCTTCTTTGCTCACTCTACGACTTAAAAAAAAATCTATGTAGGAATGATTTGTATGTTTTCGCTTTTTTATTCAATAATTTGAGATGATACAATATTTGTCTAATCATACTTATTATATAAATATATTATAAAACACTAGGTTTACTTGGTTGGCTATGTTGACGATATTGTCATCACTAAAGATGATATGGACATCATTACATGGTTGAAGAAGCACATGTACAATCATTTTCAAACTAAGGATTTAGGATCATTGCAGTATTTCTTAGGAATTCAAATACCCAATCAAGGAATCGTGTTATCTTGTCCCACAAAAAGTATATTCTTAATATATTGTAAGAAACAAACATTATTGAATGTAAGACTATAAATGTATTCACAAACAAAGTTGCTTCATA